CTGGCTCCTCCCGTTCAACACGTCGTTGAGTCCTGCGTGGATCAACACTAGGTTTTCCCCCTCCATGTTGTCCCACAATACCTCCTCTGCTTTGGCAATGGCATCTACCATGTATTTTCCTGGCTGGGCATCTACTCACACCCTCTTGTCCTCCTTCACCTTGCCTAGCACTCCCTCTACGATCCTTGCCAAGTTGGAGTCTCCCACTATTAGGACTCTCCTACCGGCCGACGGCTGCCCTCTTTCTCCTGGCGCTACGCTGCTACCCTCTGCATTTACCACCGGTAGCAGGTTGGGCTCTACCAATCCAGCCGTTTCCCTCTCTTTTTGCGCGGCTTCACTATAGGTCCTAGGAACCTCCTTCGTGCCCGCACTGCTCGCTCCCTACTTTCTGGCCCCCTGAACCGTAGGCACTACCGTCGCTGTCGGCTCCCTCTTCATCTCTTCCCACTGTACTTGTAGGTCAACCATCTTCTCGACCTCTACTCTGAGAATGCCCTGTAATTCTGCCATCATTGCTTGTCCTTCCCTGTTCTTCCCCTTCTCTAATTACACCAATGACACGCTCCACTCTATCCTCGCACTCCTTTTTTCCCTCTTCTAGCCCTGCCTTCCACGCTTCCCCCTGCCTGAGCTCCTCCACCTGCTTCTCAAGTTCCGCCCGCTTCTCCCTTTCCTCGTTAAGCTCAGCCTGCCATTTCACCTCGGGCTCCCCCCTCTTCAACTCAGTGACCTGTGCCTCGAGCAGGACCCGCTTTTCCCGCAATTCCTTCAGTTCCTCCTTCATCTCTTCGAATTTATCTTTCCACTCTCGCTTTAGTATCGTCAATCTTCTCACAAAGTTGGCAAGCGAAAGTGCCTTTCCCTACTTCAGCTACGCTCTTGAAGTCCGTTTCTTCTAAGTAGCACCACCGCTTGCACTCTCCCTTTATCTTCTCTTTTCTATTCATCGCCTATAGCTACTCAAAAATTCGCGTGTCTATCACAAAGAAAAAGCCCGCCAAAATCTACACAAAGACCGACCCTACTCTACCTTCTCATGGCTCGCCCGGCCACCCAGGCTAATCTAAATCCAGTACCCTGCTGCTAATTAAATCTACCTCTATTATACCATGTACACTTTAAACACCAAAATACAAAGAAAAGATACTTAGCCCTTGATGATACGATTGTGATTATGAAATAAAATGTTAAATCAACCAAGAATTGCGACCATCCGGTCGCCTAGGGCCCCGACAACTAATATCATTCTCTGGAAAATCTATTTTAATATTTACAAGTTTTGTGGAGTTCATCGAGTGAATAAAGGCCCGTTCACACTCTTGCGACCTCTTAAACCTGGGTTCCTTAAAACTTCTTAAACCAGAAAACACACTGGCGCCATCTATTGGGGTGCAGTGTAAACTCGGCGGTCCGGCATATTTTTTTTTTATTTCTCGCGCATTATCCTTTCTTTCTTGGCTCGAAAAGCTTTTGTCAATGATATAAACGAGCCTTTCTGTGGGTATTACGGACATTTGACCTCGGAAATCCCGCAAAACCTTCGCTCTTGTGAAATGCAGTTCCAGGGTCACCGCATAGATGGCGCCACAATGCCAGTGTGTTCCCTTATCCTAAAAACATTTAACAAGTTTTAAGAGATCTCGTCTCTCTCAGTCGTACTCGGTCGCAAGTGTGAACGGGAATGTTCCAACAATGAGCTAAACCTACACAAGTTCCCGAATCCAACACAGCGCTTTTGAATTTTAGCACTGTAGATAGTTCTGCGAACAGTGTATACTTTACCAACGCGCTCACGAACAAGTAGTGTATACTTGTGTGCAAATATTCGTCTAACAGTTTTGCAACGTTAAAAAGCATCGTAATGATTCAGAATCACTGCGGAGTTGATACTCGGGGCAGATAAGACGGGGACTTTGGTACTTGGGAGAAACGGACCGTGGCATTTCAGAGAGGGGTACTGCCGCGGGGCCAACGTGCTACAATCGCATACCCTTCCAAGGTCATCGCTTGGGCGACCGCGGGCGTCCGAAAACCTTCCTTTTTTTTCCTTTTCTTAGGGGGGGAGGGGGAAAAGAGGGATGGGTGTAGGCGCTGATTGTCTTCCTCCTTTGTGGCTTTTGACAGAAGCACGAGACTGGCAGAACAAGCGCGGGATTCAATTCTCTCGATGGATGCGTTCTGTCTGTATGCGAACATGATTTCTTTATTTTTTCTTTCTTTTAGTAGTTGTTTTTGCCTTTACTCGGGTCCCAGTGGGTGCGTTGTCGTTGTATGCCCACAATTTTTTTATTTATTTATTATTATTATTTTTTGTTTATGGTAGTTTTTGCGCTGATGGGGTATCAAGATAGACAAAAAAATTGTGCCTTAAAAAAAAAACAAAAAGAAAAAAAAAAACTTTGTTGTTTTTGCGATTAGGAGCGTTTTCAAAGCCCCAAGTAGAGTTCCTGTATAGGCTCCCTACGGGAGGTAGCATATACAGGAACTCTAGCCCCAAGCACCTCGCCTTCGTTCTCGTGATATGTCGCTCGCTTTCGCGTAGCACCCCTGAATTCTGAAAGCCAACGTGATTTTCAGGGAAGAAGGCGATTTTAGCTGCGCGCAGTGTTACCACAGGTGCGGTATTGAGAGCGTAACCCAAGCATTTGAAGAAAAGGGGAAGCTCTCGTCTTGTCGGGACTCTCTTTTATGGGTCTCCACGTCGTGATTGTCCTACAAAATCGACTTTAATTTATTTTTCGCTCGTGGCTTCCAAGTACTGCGCGCAGCTTGTCAAATAGGGTATAGTTATAGCTGATTAACACGATGCATATTTCTAACGCACAATAGTTTTGCGAAATCAGGTTTCGCTCAATTGGATAACTCACACGTACATTTACCATTTGTAGACCACCTGAGACTGGGTGGAAAAAACACGACGACATCTCAAAACAAGAAAAGGGTGACTAAGCCTGCCTCAGGTACGATTAATGAAAAAACAGTTAGGGCGCAGGCGAGCTGGTGTAAGTTTACAATTTTTAGATCACCTGAGACTGGGTAAAAGAAACACAACGGAGTAGTCGTTGTGTTTCTTCCACCCAGTCTCGGGTGGTCTAAAAATCGTAAACTTACACCAGCTCGCCTGCGCCCTAACTGTTTTTTGACACGTACAGTTCGACCCGCAATACCTTTGATGTATGGACTCACGAGAGATGCCCCCAACACGGTTGAGTTTGGTGGTGTTCCAGACCTAACATCTAAATGTCGTCGCCTTACCTGTTACTATTTCGCGCGCAGTTTGCGCCATTTCGAAATGAAAGTGCATGACGAAAGTGACGCTCGTTTTGCGCTCGATGGAAATTTCACGCCAGCCCGTTGTCTTCCCTGGTACCTTGTGCGTTTCACAGCGATGCGGAGCGTTCAACAAGAAAAAGAACGTACGATGGCATCCCTATAACACCCAGCCGCCTTTTGTTTTTCTTTCATGGTACTAATTTGTTTCTGCGAATTACGGCTGTTACGACGCTAAGTCTGTCTGCACTCTCGAATTTGAATTTGGGCTCATATCAGGGACGGACCAGTTTAAACCAGGGAAATATAAATAACACTGTATCAAAGTAAATCTATCATATCGATCAGAAATACGATTGGACACATTCTATCTAAACACATAGCGTGCTCAGCGAATGCAATAACGAGTCAGCGTGCAAAACGCCGCCACACAACACTGCTATAACATCTAAGCGATTTTTGCATAGCACCGAATACAGAAAAGAGAAATCAGTTATTAGTTCACATAAACGAAGCAAATGTATTTAAAGCCCGGACACTCCGTACGTTCAGTCTACCTAAGGTTATCAATAGACTCGACCATGTCATGTGTCGAAAGAGACAAAATACGTTGGCAAAAGGGATTAGACTGAATAAGTGAATCTAACGCACGTCTTTCACCAACCGACGGTCGAGTGCCTTCAATACCATTTCCAATTGTCACTGCGCACGTTCGACACACTTTGGGGAGCAAGATATATTTACATCGCCGCCCGAAGTCTTCATTGAACGTGTAGTGCTGACCAAAATAAAATGCTAACCTGGCTCTCAATCGCCCGCCGCAAAGTACGATTTCGAAAAGGCGGTGCTGTACGTCACTTGAGATAAAAACCCAAGCTATAGAAACGAGCGTCGTAAAAAAGAGGACCGACATTTTTATTCCTACCCCGGAACAGAAACGCTCACTGCATCACACAGAGCAGAGGCCCGACTCGGCCACCGCGCGGATTATCACCGACGTCCGATGCAATGCACACTGAACTGACAGACCAAACATACCAAGCGCGCGCGAGGGAGGGAGAAACTTCCTCCGCCGGGAGAACACGACACCGATTTGGGGATCTATTTCACGCAGCAGATATGCCGGCCTTTTCACATTTCGATACTGGCGCCATCTAGAAGTCACGAGTTCAACCACATCACGAGCCGCGCGCCATCTGACGTCTGAAACGGACGAATACATAGATGTACCGCGTCTTCTTAAATCTTGCGAATAATGGATATTCAAATAACTGAAGAATTCATATAACAGATAACTGAAAAGAAAATGACGAGTGACGCTCGCGCAGCATCACGCTGAGAAAGTTCTGGAAAAGAAACCAGAAATGAGGGCAAATTGAGAGCGTGTTTCTGCTTTGAAGCTTCCTGCTTCTCCGGCAGTTGTTGTTTCTCGTCTGAAAATTTCTTTAACGATTAATTTCAGCGCAATTTCTTTCCAGTCTTTTAATGTTGGTTTTAATGCTCGTTATGCGAAATTCAATTCGAATGTTGAAAATCTTCATCTTTGACTATAACGTGCTAAACCACCTAAAAACAACTTTTAAAAAAGTTCAGGAGGTGAATGCTGCATTTCCAAAGTTTGCTGAAATAATCTACGACTAGCATGTCTCAAAGTAACTAGGCGTAATTATGTTTACACGCAACTCATTTATGTGATAGAATGGTGAGGATAATAACAGCTTACCCCTCTGTCATGAAAGTTGGAGAAGTCGTGTACTTGAATCTTTTTAATCAGGTCCAAGTTTTTGATGATCAACATAGGCGAGGCTCCGAAGAAAAACCTTGAATAAATTGCGTAATTACTAGATACGTTCAATGTTACAAGCCTATGTAAAGGTAGCTTGGCCGCAAGCTGCTTTGTGCACGGCGGAGTGTTAACTTTACAGGGGAAAAAAGCGGACCGAATTCGAAAGTCTCGAGGAATAAAAATTATTACTTAAGATACTGAAATTTTGACTGCGGTGTGTGCTATGAGTCGGCAGCTATTATATTCCTCGGGAACTTTACGACTCTTCATTTCAGTGAAAAGAAATTTAGAATTTTGTCAAAGTAGCCCATAGGACCCAATGCAACAATATTATATCGTTCCCAGGAATAAAAAGTGTACAATCCTGAGGTTAAAGTAGGTATTAAATAAGAGTGTATTAGTGCCCTCTATAGATATCCCGGGGAACTTAAGGATTTCTGAAGTAGTATGGATGAAATTATCATTTTACTGCGTTTTGCTGAGAATAGCCAAGAGAGGGCGCAAGGAGACCGTGCCTAGGAACGCTGGGGATGGCGCTTTGATAATGCGTTGGGCAGTATAGGTCTGCGACAGCGTACGGCGTGAACTCGGCTCAGCTCGTATCAAAAACGAGTATTGCGTCGCCGTTCGGCGAGGACTCGGGATCCAATCACACGCCTCATACCCAAGAAATGGTGACCCCCAATGTTGCTTGATGGGGTTTGGAAAACGGTGCCTATGGAAACAATAAATAACACTCGTAGAGAGTAACTATCCCCATCATATGCCGAAAACAAACATGCTTCCTCTCGAGCATTATTTGCTGGTGCCCAATTTAAAAAAAAAGTATCCTTGAATTCGTTTACAAAGTGATCCACTTAGATCGATCCCATTGACTTCTCTATGCGACGGCGCGCCTCCACTCAGAAAGCTTAATTATGGGTGCACGAACGCACACCGCATGAAGATTTCAAGGGAAATGCGGAATTCAAATAGAGTTTTCTAAGCTTATATAACAGGTCTCCGATGGCGGCTTACCCAACCACGTCACCATACTTGCGGATCCACTCGTCAAACACCGTCACGGCACCCTATATAAAAAAAAAGAGTTCCAACTTTTTTTTTTTTTTTTCACCTTTCGGCCAGGTACTATGCTTTAAAACAGTGTGTTTCCGCGCAACCTTTTACTTAATAAAAACTGAAAGCTTTATCCGTTGTCCGTTGAGTTTAGTTCTCGAGTGTACATATGTGTACATGGAATGTTTTAGAACATATCATCCTATTTCTCGTAGCTATAGTATAAATTTGGCGCAATAAATTTCGGGATGCCTTATCTTTATTTTATTTTTAAGTTTTCTGCGTGTTTCTGTTCTTGCAAGTACCTATCAAAAACCTGCATAACAACAAAAAGGAAAAAAAAATGCTTTTTGAATCTACGTATCGCTGTGGATTTTCTCACGCGTGGAAGCAACTTTGAAAAGCTTAAAAATAGAAAATGCTAAAATATAGAGATTTTACTAACATTTTGAAACAAATCGCAAAAACAAAATACAAAAAAAAAAAAGAACCTAGGCAAGATAAGACGCGTGCGACAGACAGAGCTCAATAACTGCACATGCCCTATCTTGTATGTACATTTTTTGTGCGCTCTGTTTTATTATAAAGCGGCGGAAACAGGCCCAGTTTTTAACGCTTCTGATTTTACAAACGCCTATCGAATGCATTTTTTTCTTAGGCTTCTATACCCATCTGCGGAGATATTTTAAAGTCCACAAACGAAAAGCCTCAAAAAGAACCCGACCACAATGCAGATTGATACCAGATTCACCTATCTTGGATAGCTACTCTGAACCTTGTTAAGAAGTCTACCAAAATTACCCTTATTACCACCTACCTGGTCCTTGGCCATCTAATTCAGGTCATGAAAGCACTAAATATTATCTCACTAATACTCGTTTACTCAGAATATAGTCTAAACTTTTGTGTAAATAGCGTATGTTGGCTTTTGTATTTTTAAATACTCTCTTATTTTTTTAGCTTGTCTCCCTTTTGTGCTTTCGTCGCCCACCCCGTTTGTTTTAATTAGCAAATTATTTTTAAAAGCAGGTTCGCCTTTTCCTGTTTGTAAATTAATAATTATCTTTTTTCTGTACCGGCACTTCGCACTTAATCCGTGAAATAGTAGAAATTTAAGGAAAGCAATGCCCAGGGACATTTCACCTTCTCCATCAGCTCTGTCAAGTTTCCAGACAGGAGACTTGGCCTTGGTCCGGGAATTCCAAGGCGCTGGAAGATTGAAAATCGCCTTTGTCTTGACCTGTGAAGAGAAGAAACCCCCGCAGGGGGCACCTGTGAATGCAGGTGTTTGGAGACTGGTGTCTCCACGGACCCAGAGCCATACGGGTTCGCCCGCCCACGTCTGGCTGTGCGTGGCTCTCCCGTGTCTGAGGAAAAGGGCATCCTGGTGGTTGAGCCGAGCCCGGGGCAGGTTTGGACCCTTCGGGGCCCCCCGGGTGAGGCAATACTCCACTTCGGCCCCCACTTCTCATAGACGGAAGTCCTGTTAATTAAGGCCCGGCCAGGATGATTCAGTCTAGTGGCAATTTCTTCTACTATACCGTCTCCTCTTTCTCTTTTCTCCCCTCCCCGCTCCTTCACTTTCACCTTCTTTGGTGGTGAGGGCCAACCTTGTGTGGTGGCAGGTACCCTTATTCTAACCACACTTGGGTATAGCACCTGGGCAAGTGATAGTAGATCAGCGGTTCCAGCAAAGCCTATTTTTTTATGGGCTGCTGACTACTCCCTAAGTTGGGCTCGATGGTGGGCGGCACACCGCAGGTGCCGAAATCGTTTCCCCATTCATATGGGTACCAAAACTAAATCTTTCCTTGATTGGCCCCCGAAAAGGGGCCGGACCGTAGAGAAAACGTCAACAAACCCTACTTTGCCAGTCATGAATTTTCCTAAATTTATAGTAATGCAGAATGAAGATCAACCATTCGCAAAGCTTTCCCCATTCTTGGTCGCAAAGACCCTACTAGCTGTGATTGGAAAATTTTTTAAAGCCAAAAAAGCTTCCATCTGGCGACCTGCTTGTGGAGGTCATAAATGCTGAGCAAAGCAAAGCACTTCTTGCACTCAACCAAGTAAGAGATTACAAAGTATCCGTGACTCCACATCGCTCACTGAACAGCACGCAGCGTGTTATCTCTGAAGATGATCTCCTTGGAATATCTACCGACGAGATACTGGAGGGACCTCAAGATGTAGGGGTGGTCGCTGTGAGACGTTTCACCATCTGTGGTTACGGTGCAGAACGGGACAGAGAACACATTTTGCTAACGTTCTACTCGACAACGCTCTCCTCCACAGTTAAAGCCGGGTATCTCAACTGCAAAGTTCGCCCCTACGTCCCCGATCCAAGACGTTGCTTCTGTTGCTAGCGCTTTGGACATCGGTCACTAACCTGCAGAGAAAAAGCCACCTGTGCAAAATGTGCAAGAACTGACCACCCTTACGACATCTGTGAGAACAATACCCATTTATGCGTCAACTGCCAAGGAACACACCTAGCATATTCTCGCAGCTGTCCCCTGTGGAAGAGAGAGAAGGAAATTCTCTCACTGGAGGTCAAAGAAAATATTTCTTACCCAGGGGCACGGAACAGATTTTCTTTTATTTCTCAAGGCTCGTATGCCAAGGCCACGCGCAGGGGACCGACGCGGTCGACGGCGTCAACGGGAACGCAGACGTCAACGGACGACCTGCGTCTCCCCCCTCAGTCCACCTCAACCCCATCCGGAGTGGCACAAACCACTTCAACCCCAACACGAAATGTGGATCCTATCGCTTCGGAGTACATTCAAGCGCAGGGTTCTTCAAACCCTGCGCCATCCAAAACCCAGGTGCCTCGAGGTCGGGGAATTCCTTCTCGTCCCTCTGAAGGCGCCCGAAAACCTGGTGAGTCGTCGGGGTCACAGGCCCTTAGGGGTCAGCCCGAGGCAGCCCCAGTTGAGCCGATGGATGAGAGTGGGCTCAAGTCCAATAATTACAGGCCCCAGTCAAGCTCGGAGTCCTTACCTGCGGCCTCCTGTGGTAACATAGATAGGCCGAAGAATACATCTAAAAGGAAAAATACACCCGCATCAAAATTGATTTTCAGGTTTAGATCTATGGTCTTTCTTCTAATTCATACGTGATGGCAGCATTCCTGCAGTGGAACTGTCGAGGACTGCTTCGAAACAACGACGACGTGTACTCTCTGTTAGACCAGCATTACCCCATAGCATTTTGTCTCCAGGAAACATACTTAAACAATTGTCACTCTAAAATCCTAAGGCGCTTTCAGGTTTTTCGCAGGGACAGACCTCTTCTATCTCACAGTTCTGGTGGAGTAGCTATAGTTGTCCAGCCGTCTACTTCATGTGTTGAGGTCTCTCTGAATAGCACTCTAGAAGCCGTGGAAGTTCGTGTTCTGTCCGACCATTTAATAACCGTCTGTTCGCTTTACACTCCCCCAAGCTACCCTGTATCCCGTGAAGAGCTTGAATCACTTCACGACCAATTACCCCAACCTGCCCTAATTCTTGGTTGCTTCAACGCTCATAATCCTCTTTGGGGTAGTAGAAGACGAGATACACGCGGCTCGATGATAGAGCGTTTTCTTTCTTAGACAGCTATATTCTTACTGAACAGAGCAGAGTCTACGCAAACTCGTTCTTTTACATCTATTGATCTGTCTCTTTGCAATCCAACATTTTTTTTTCTGGGCTGTCGATCCTAATCCCTATGGGAGCAATCACTTTCCTATCATTATGAACCGACTAAATCCACCTCTTACAGTGCTTACACGAACTCCCCGTTGGAAGTTTGAGGAAGCAAACTGGTCTATCTTCAGCCAGGCAATTCAGCTCGCTTGTACACCGCTTAACAAACTGTCCATCGATGAAGTCACGAATTTTCTTAGCGCCCACATCCTCAATGCTGCAATTTTAGCTATCCCTATGACTTCATCTCGTTTACCCCGACGTCCTAAACCGTGGCGAAATGCCGACTGTGAAAAATCAAGAAGAAAGCAGAACAGAGCATGGGACTTATTTAGACGTTACCCAACAGTGACTAATCTCATCATTTTCAAGCGGATGAAGGATCATGCGAGATACATCCGCCGAGTCTCAAAGCGTCAAAGTTTTCAAGGTTATGCTTCTTCTATACAGCACCACCACCACCAAAAAAGTATGGAATAGAGTGCATAAAGTCAATGGGCATTACCGGGCCTATTCAGTACCGCTTCTTTCAGAAAACGGACTGTGCCCTGAGAGCCTAGAACAACAGGCAGGTCTTCTTTGGAAACACTTTGAACGTATTTCTAACTCTCTGAATTCTTCATCTGCTTTCCTGAAACACAAAAGACAAGAAGAACTTCAATCCGCGCAGACATCCGGTGGAGCTCGAGAAGCCTGCAACTCTCACGCTGAATGAACTGGAACTGGTACTTCGTGAAACTAAACCTACGTCTCCTGGACCTGATCGAATTCACTGCATATGATTACTCACCTTCACAATTCCACACTCGACATAAGTTTGTATTTTTTAATCGCATTTGGCAGGAGAGTACATTTCCATCGTCCTGGAGAGTGGCAACCGTCATTCCTTTCCTAAAGCCTGGAAAGGATGCATCGTGTGCATCCAGTTACCGCCCAATAGTGCTAACTAGCTGTGTTAGCAAAACTCTGGAGAGAATACTTAACAAGCGACTTATGTACGTTTTAGAAAAAAATATTCTTGATAAATACCAGTGTGGCTTCCGTTCGTCACGATCTACATTGAACCATCTTGTCCGCTTGGAGTCTACTGTCTGTGAGGCCTTCGTAAATATAAACAGTACTGCCTCTCCGTCTTTTTCGATTTAGAAAAGGCTTACGACACTGCCTGGCGGCTTGGCATCCTACAAGATATGTATAGCTCTGGCATTCGAGGCAGGATGCTAGCATTCGTAAAGAGCTATTTGGCGATACGTACCTTTCGTGTCAAATTAGGCACTACCTACTCTCGAGAGTTTTGCCAGGAAAACGGTGTTCCCCAAGGAGTCGCATTGAGTGTCATCGTTTTTATAATAAAAATAAACCCGATAGTCCGAGCCATCCCATCATCTGTACAGTATTCACTTTATGTTGACGATCTTCAGATATCCGTCTCATCCTATAACATTACTTTCTGTGAACGTAGGATCCAATTAGCAGTAAACAATCTGCTCAAGTGGGCTGATAAAACGGTTTTAGGTTTTCACCAGAAAAAAAAACAACAGTTTCTGTTTGTTTTTCTCGATTACGGGGAGCCACAGTAGGCCCATCGATGACCATGCACTCCACTCCGATTCCAACGAAACCGGAACAGAGGTTCCTAAAGCTTATTTTTGATCGTAAACTGTGCTTTCTTTTTCATATAAGGTATCTTAAGGTAAAATGCCAGAAAGCACTAAACATTCTTCACGGTTCGGTGGTTCACTCACGCCTCGACTATGGTAGTTGTGTATATGGATCGGCAAGGCCCTCAGCTCTTCGAATACTTGACCCTATTCATCACCAGGGATTGCGACTGTCTACAGGTGCATTTCACACGTCGCCTATCCCCAGCCTTTATGCAGAAACAAATGAATGGTCTCTGGAGAAGCGAAGGTTTGCTTTGGGGCTTATGTATTCCCTTAGAATACGTTCATTCACCTTGCATCCTGCACGTGAGGTTGTAGAAGAAACAAGACATAAGCGCACCTTTGGCAACAAGCCCTCTGTAATCCCGCCTATTAGTATAAGAAATCCACCCGCAGCACATTCGGTTGGACTAAGCAGTACAATGCTCGTGACCCCCGTACCTCAAGCAATAGTTCCGTGGAAATATAGCCTCATTTTGTGTGACGTTTTACCGACTAAGTACAGAAAGAAAGACACCCACCAGAGTGCATCAAACAGGAAATTTATGAAATCAAAAGTAGATACTCTGGACACAGCTCGTATTACACAGATGGCACCAAGACAGAAACATTCGTTGGATGTGCCACAGTTGGCCCCTCTGTTCGCTATGTTCAACGAATTGCATATACAGCCAATATTTTAATCGCTGAACTATGTGGTATCCGCCTGGCAGTTAATCATATTATAGAAATGAAAAGCATGAAGTAAGTTTTGTACACTGATTCACTTAGTTCGCTGAGAGCGCTCTCATCACTAAATACCTCTAAACACCCAATAATCATAGAGTTGCAGGATAAAATCATCGATGCTTCCAAAAGGAACATTAAAATAGTCTTTTGCCGGGTTCCCCTAGCCATGTTGGTATACCCGGTAATGAGGAAGCAGAACTTACAGCCAGTTCTGCTGGGGACAAAGAACTCGAACTGCATGACATTCCATATAAAGACTGCCACAGACTTTTAAGGCATTGTGTAAG